TGAGCAGCTCTTAAAGGCAAAGCTACTGCCGTTGGTTAGACGGTTGGCCACCCTAACTGGGATCGGACATGAGCGGCCAACCCTCTCCACCTGCTGGTGGAAGACAGCCCCACATTTTTGCAACCCACCTAATCTGGCTGGACGGTGCTTTGCTTGCCTATTGTGTTTAGCAACAAGATCAGATAGGCGGGATAGAAATGAAATAAATAAATAAATAAATAAACTTAGCTTTTGTTTTTAAAAAAAATATAAATTAAAAAAACACACCCTATTTACAGTGGTAGAGAAAAAAAACATGCGTACAATAGCTGGTGAACCTCAGAAGTAGAAAAGGAGGAAGGAGAAGGTTCAATACTTCACAGAACTCCTTGATCCTACAGTTTAAACGTCTTATCCAGCTCATTGTCCCTACAACCGGAGCACCTTGCGTGGGTCTTTGTCTTTCCTAGGGATTCGAGCATCTCCGATTATCTCCCTTGCCTTCCTTATGGCTTAACCAGCCTGCAAAGCTTTCTGCCTTCCCTTCAGCTCCAGCATCTGGCATCTCCCCTCCCTGGGACTTCAACCCCTCTCCAGGCTCTTTGCCCTTCCTGTGGGCGAAGGATGGCAAACAAGCACAGGTGGACCTCAGCTGCCAGGCCTACGTGGGACGGCATAATTAAGCCAGGATACGGGGATAGGGAGAGAGATGCAAGGAAGAAAATGCACTGCTCTAGGCCATCGACTAACTGAGGAAGTGGGCTGCGGTCCACGAATGCCTTTGACCCCAAGCATTCGGCCACGGAGGGTGGGAATCGTGCAGTCCACGGTCCCTTTCCAAATGACTCCCACCCATTCAAAAATGATAATTTCTGCTCTTCCAGAAGTGGGAATTCTCCTTTTTTAAAAAATGCAAAAATCCCCCTGTGCCTTGTTATGTCTCTACCCATCACAAGGGGTTTTTCAAAACAAGGAGTGGACTTCCAACCTTTTTCATTTTGCTTTTGGGCCTCTCCCCACCCAGTTTTCCAGCATTTCTTGAGACCAATGTGGTTCCCAGAAGTGGAAAGCTTGCCACCCTTGGCCTGTGAGCTCCCACAAGATCCTTTACTACCTTTGTCATGACCGAGTAATACAGTTACCCCCTCTGGGACAACACTGAGAAATCTTGAGTTAACAGCAAAGGGAGGGGACCCCCTCTCTCTCATTCCTTCTCATGGCAAACCCTCTGGCGCTCATCCGGTTCACATGCAAGCATGGGATGTGTCCTCTGGCATGGGGTACGACCTGGATGATCCTGCGTACTGGGCAGGCTTCTGTGTACACAGAGGTGACAATAGATAACCAGGGTTTGTGGGGGGGGAGGTAAGGGGAAAGAAGGAAGGGCGTTCGCTGCCCAGCGCTTACCCAACTGCCTTTCTCTCCTCGTTCGCCTTTGGGGCCCGGCTCACCCTGAAACAGAAAGAGAACGAGAGATGGCATGAGAAAAGGAAGGAAGGAATGGGTGGTGCTGTGTGTTGCAACGAGCAAGTGTGCAGCAGAGAAGCAAGGGAAGGCAAGCCCAAGGCGGTCCCAGCCGGGAAAGCAGACGCAGTAACCACCTGGGGTGCCAAAAATTAAGAAGAGAGTTGGGGGTTCCATTTCACCCCAGAAGGGTCTTGGGTGTTGCATGTCAACCGCTAAGAGCGCAGGATGCGGCCCAAAGCCAAAGACCCTTTGCCCCCTTGAGAGAGCTTGCAAGACCATGCCGAACCTCGCCGATCGGTCCGCAAAGAGGGGCTCCTTCGCCGTGCAAACTTTCCAAGGCTGCAAAGCAGAGCTCCTTTTCTGTGCAAAACCTTGCCAGGTTTTCGATATGGTTCTTTCTCTCCAGTCGGAGACAGAGGCAGAAGAATCGGGGCCATGGATGGGGAAGTTCCACCGGCTAAACGCCTGTTGTATGCTAGAAATAAGGCTTTTAAGTCTGGGGATGATCTAGACTACAGTGCAGCAAGAACGAACTTGAGGAGAGGCATTAAGCAAGCTAAGGCCGAATACAAGAGGAGAATTGAAGACTGCTTTCTCAGCAATAACATGAGGCAAGTTTGGCAGGGGGTTCAACAACTAACAAACTACAAAGCAAAAAAGGTTTCCTCGGG